GAAGGTATTTAAAATAGATGAAAATAAACATTATAAAAATGAAATCATAATGACCTGTAAATCATTCTGATGTGACTGCTACTCCAACAATAAGTAATTAAGCTCTTCTTCACTATAAAGCACTTCTTAACAAAGTTGTTTGTTTAACCACTTGGTCTCAACTAATCCAGGCTGACGCATATCTCACACTGCATTTCTGTTCAGGGTTTTGCCAGAGTTTTGCTCTATTTGTGTGTGCACATGCAAAAGAGGTGTCCTTTACCAATTAATTCTAAATCAATTTTTATGACAACATCAGTATTAGAAAATAAAAACAATGCAAAGTCATCTGAGAGAGGATAACAGAGAGAAGGTGTTCAAAAGGACTTGTCAGGCAGACAGAAATAAGAAGTCCTTTAAATGTCTGATCGATTATGCATGGTGTAGGCATTTCTGATCTTAAAAACAAACTAAATCACACCGAACATCTACAGTTCAGTTAAATTTCTGGTCAATCATTTGCATTCAGAAGTGTCCAGTTCAAATCGACTTAGATTAGTATCTTGCAAACCAGACCTGTTCAGACTTGCACAGAACTCCAGGTATTAATACAATATTTAACTTTAGTAGGCACTTTCAAAAATTACCTCAGTCTCCATCTTACATAAAAATACTAGTACTTTAAGAAATAAATGCTATACAATACTTTTGTTGAAGTAATGAAGATTAAGCCAATATATATGGTTAAGTAATTGATTTTCTTATTTCATTGGATCAAGTCATGCATTTGTCTGTCAATATGGCTACATGTAAAATGGTAGGCAACTAAACTTTTGATTCAGTTCTTCTCCAATTCATATTTTGCTAAAATACCTTAGTTTTCTCTAGTAAGTAGCCTCTACTGACAAATCATAGTGAAGTTAGTCACCAACCAAAATTTACTAAACTCAAAAGTAAAACATGAAGTCTTAACACACACACACAAAAAAAAAGCCCTGGGAAGTCCACACAAGAATATTTGTAACATATAATTTTAGTTTTAAATTTACAAAAATCAGAGCACCTCAATAAATTTTTGGCAGCTACCATACTGGTGCGCACTTGTGACTCATCTACCTGCTACATTTCTTATCTTCTTACTATGGACACTGAATTGAAAGACTCAAGGAACATTAAATTCTTCGTTTTTGTTGTGCTGCACGTAGCGTTGAGATAGGAAGTACTTGCCTGACATAGCAACTGATGCGGTGAGACCAGAAAACTAACTAAATGGCAAGGCACCCTGCCAAGTGCTAACTGAAATAATAATTTGAAAAATTATCATTCAGTTTAAAGTTTGAGGAGCTGAAATAGTGTATTATTTCTACATTTTATTCTATACAGAAGTCACTTTATAAAAAGCAACTCAGCATATAGTTAAAATATTTTAGAAATACATACTGGTAGGAAAGAACCATGCAGAGACATGAAGGCAGTGGAAGTGATGGCAGTGGGAGTTGCACTCCCATGACCATGTAGATCTGATTGTAGGACTGAGGCCATGTCATGTGCAATATGACTAGCTATGCCTCCATAGAGTAGTAACTCCATACTAACTTGTGCTCCAAAACACTTCTTGTGAGAGGCATTTAACTTTCTGGAGAGTCTCACTGAGTACCAGTCATGTGGAGACAAAAAAAACCAACCAAACAAAAAAACCCCAAACAACCCCAAATCAATGAAAAATACAAGGTCCAATTTTTAAGCTTTGGTTTTGAAAGGCAAGATAATGAGTATGTAGATCTTCCAGCAATCATGGGCATAACGCTGAGGACAAAGTAATTTTAATGCCATTCAGTTGAATTTCAGAAACTCAGAAAATTGTAAAAAGAATCAATTCATTCAATTAAAAGAGAAGTACAAGCATAAATTAGTGATTGGAAATTTAGTCAGAACTACTTTTCAGAAAGTATAGGCTGAATAAAACTTCTGCAAAATCGTCCATTCTAAAGAAAGTAAAAAAAATACAAAGATATTATTCATAACTAATTTAGTTTTTCTTGGAAATTAGAGTTATATAGGGGTTTGGGTTTCTTTACTCTGTCCATCTCAGCTCCATGTTTCCAGTAATTATGACATCATTGACCAATTTGAAACAAATTTGAAAAGGACATGAAAGCTTTAAAAATACCTCATCCCGACATGTTACGTAGAAAGGGTTAGCCGAATAAAGTACAGAGATTATTAACATCCACCCAAGGAGGAAAAAAAAACCCACAAAGTGTATTCACTTGTTTATAAACAAAGCATTCTGTTTTAGAAAGAAAATGCCAACCTTTAATATTAAATAGAAACTTCAAACACTATGTTGCGTTTCAAAATGTAGTACTGTGCAATTTTTACTGATGACATGTCATGAAGCTATGTGAAAAATGTAGAAAAAAAGTCAGGCATTTGAACTCTGATCTCTTCCATCACAGTACAGTAATTTCAGAGAAATTACTCCCTCTGAAGTGTAATATAATGTTATGATACTTTAAAGGTACAACTACGGCTGTATAGCAACAGACAACAACACTAAATAAGTTACATATTTAAGATCACATGGCAATCAAATGTAAAATCAAATGTAAACTTTCTGTAACATCCCATTCTATAAGGTCATTAGAACAGATAGGTAGCTGAGACGTGAAAAGGTGATGATTGGAGGCGATGGCAGAAGAAAGGAATATTATTATTGTGGTGTTCATCCCTTGCAATACCAGATCTAGTTAATGTATACATCAGGATTATTCATCTTTTTTTTTAAACATACTGCTTTGCATTTGTATCAAATATCTCATTTCAATTTCAATTTACCTTTTGCTCTTCAAAAAGTTGTGAAACCAACAGTTGCCTTGTGCCAGCAAAAGTGTAAGAGGAGTGGGACTCTCGAAAGCAATTATTGTTCAAGCAACTTCGGTAAGGAAACAAAGTTTGTTTCTTTTTAATTAATCAATTGGCACTGTGTTTTTAGACTCATGGGAATTTTCCAACATGTAGTTCTGAGTTATTATTAATATATAGGCTAAATTTTTGCACCATCTTATGTGTATATCTGACATTGTTCACTCAATACATTCTTGGAGATACTCCGAAATAGGCACTGCACGTATGTCTGAAATAAACATACTTTCTCAACTTGAAAAGCAAATGACAATGTAAGACAACATCCTACAGGAAAGTATTGATTCAATTACTCTTTTGTCATCTCCTTTATCTGTAACCAGCCAATACACACTTTATGCAGTACCTGCTGACTGTTCCACACTTCAGTTTATAGACTTTCAAAATATTTTAAAAACAAATTAGAAGGCACGGAAGCTTACAAGAACTGCTTTCCATACACAGACACAAATCACATAGGAAAAACGGTGTCTGCTGTATTTGGATGGCATTGTCACTGCTGATTTATTCAGTTATGTCTTGGAATATTTTCCTTTACTAATCCTGGAAGCTTTTTTAATCCCTTATAACATTCCTAAAAATCTGATGAGACAACTTTCCCCCCTCCCCACCCCACCTTTTAGTTTGTTTGTTTTAATCTGACTCTCTCTAACTTTATAGCTAATCCCATGAGACTAGAGGAAATCTGCTGTTTCAGAAAAGCGGGGGCAGCTTTACATCATTTTGCTAGAAAAGCAGTTGAGGGCTGTGGCTGTACCCTAAAGCAGAATGGAGCCACTGCAGCATGACCCCTTATCACTCTTGACCACCACCAGCCTGTTATAATTTGCAGCCAGTATAGGCTAGCCCAAGACCAAAAGCAGCAGGTAGAAGAAAGAAAGGTCTCCTCTTGCTGACCACACCTCAGCTCTTCTGGTTGATGCTAAATGACACTGTATAAAACTTGTTCTTTTTCCTCTAGCATCAGGGTAGTAAATCACATTCATTCTCACCTTTTGTCAAACACTTGAAATTTTTCAGTCTTTTCCATGGAATGAGTAAGAGTAAAAATATTTTATATGCTATTGTGAATGCAAGTGTAAGGTAAGAACAGAAAATGTGCTGTTTGTAGAATACGATTTATTCCAAGTTTATTTTCTTACTTTATGAATTTGAAAAATAGGAGCTATTGCTCTTTCATCATGCATTTAATTTTTAATATTTCTAGAAATGTAACTGCAATATCTAGCATTTTAACATCCACAGTTCTCTTTTGATTGAACTTGAACATTCCTTTTTAATCAAAAGCTCTGGATTAAAGGAAGATAATGCACAATTATAGCCACTTAAACCAAAATGTGGATTATGCCAATTCGTAAAATAAATCTGGCTGCATACACTTGGTAACTGAAAATCTAACTGATCCTACGATAGAACAGCTTATTTGCAAGAAGTGATCTGAGAAGAAAAAATTGCTAATACCATTTACCATTCCCTTTTGATAAATAAAGATGGCCTACAAGTTAATCTAGTCATCCTAGGAAAAAAGAAATGGTATCTTTATTTACATACTGAGGTGTCTTTGGGAGATATGATGGTCTGATCAGTAGTCTAAATTTAGCTGAAATCGGCAAATTTTATCAGTATCAGGCCTCAGACAGATCAAACTGTTAGACAGACTAACTCCGGGGCATCAGCTATTCTCTGCTACTCATTTGAGAGTGACAGAGAGTTGGGAATTCAGCTTTTGAACAGAATGTTTTCAATTCAACTTCTCCTGTTTTAAAATTAGTCATTAAAAGTAGTATCAAATTTTACTGTTTAATTGAAATTACCAAAAGCTAAAACTTGCAAGAGACTGACACATTCTAGTAACAATTTTATATTTGGTGCCACCAAAATTTGTCAATAGTGCGTTATCTATTACGGGTGACACCCGCGTTTTTAGTAACTGTTTCTAGTATTGTTTGTTTCCTTATTATGGAGTAATATTTGGGTTTTATGATGCCTCAAAATTTATATCTAATAAATAAATTTAAAAAGTATCTAATGTCTTGTCTTCTAGTAATAACTGGAACTGTAATCACAGCAATAACGCGGGCTGGCAGTCTGCATGCAACAATATCAATCATTAATGTATATAAGGAGGGAAATTTAGCAATTCAACAAGCTGGCAAGAGCATGAGTGCTAAGATTATTGTTGTATGTAAGCAGTGTCCTTTCATCAGAAGAGGTAAGTACACAAAAATAACTGCTTTGTCTGTTTATAAAAGACAACAGTTTTCAAAACTGCTGTTTGAAATATGACCACAAAAAAAAAAAAAATCAGTAAAATTACAGTAATTGCTTCCATAATCAGCAACTAATATTATAATCAATTTAAGATAAAAATAACTAGTTATCCAGGTTTATATTGCGCTTTTCAGTTGTATTTCTAAAGGATTAGACTTTTAGATCAAAGGAGTTTGAAATACTTTTTGGGGTTTTTTGAGGGGTTTTTCTTGGTGTGGTTTTTCTTGGTGTTTGGGTGTTGGTTTTTTTTAAGACTCGTGATATAAAGTAAAATCTGGTTTGGTTCTCTCTAATGAAGCTCAGATTTTGTTTTTGCATGTGTGTATTTTGGAGCTAGTTTTCATACATAGTTATTTAGAAGAGAAAAATCACAACATGCTAAACCTAGAAAAGCAGAAGGTGACAGCAAATGACAAAAATCTACGTTTCCCTGTTGCTTCTCTCCTGTATGTTTACATCTTTATTGTAGAAATACTAGTGTTATTAAGCCCAGTTATACAGAGTTTATCAAGCAAGTTAATTTCCAGTTAAATATAACAAGGGCTACCTATATGTGTTATAAGAAATACTGAGACTGTGTTATATTGCCTCTTGAGTAATCAGGTAGAACAGAACATAAATCAAACCATAACAGGAAACAGTCAATTAAATAAGCATCAGAAAAACCCTGATAACATTCAGGATACTACCGGTATTTAACCAGATTAATTCAAAGTGGGCAGCACCAAAGTGAAAAATCCTTGTCAGAAACTAGCTTTTGCTTTTACCTTTAGTTCTCTGGAAACTAGATACTTGTCTGGAAGACATAGTAGTATCTTTGATGGAACAAATTGTCTCCTTTTAGGCAGACAATCCTGCTGGCTCCAAATCGCACGCTTCTGTGTCTCTTCCTAATTCTCCATGAATTATTTAATAGCCATTATTTAATATCTAAACTTTTCTGCGTACACCCCTGTAACACCCACTCCTTCCAGCCTAAGGGCTTGCAAACCCCTAACCCTTCTAAGCCATAAAACCACACAAATCCATCCAATTTCTCCAAAGCCAGGGCTTATCACACGTTAAGCCCACCTTGCTTGCCTGATTGTCTCTCTATATATCTAGAAAACGTTTATGTCTTTGGGGGAGGAAAAGGGAATGAAACAACTTAAGTGCATTATCCCTTAAGTGCATTATCCTACCCTAAAATGAATGAGACACGTTCCACTTTGGGTGTTAGTAGCCAAGTTATCCGGTGTTTATACTACATTTCTAATGTCTTTCAGACTCATTTGACAGTCTATATTTAATGACTATCTCCTATATGTTTAATTATGTAGTAGATACTTAGCTATACATCTGCTCGATTTTTACCTAACTGTATTTTATTGCATAACAAGCATCGTAAATATGGGTAAGGAACTATATGCTTTAGGTAGGAAGGAAAAAAGTTAGAAGGCATTGGTAACAGCGCAAACAAATAGAGACCACAGATAAAGAACTACACTTACCAAATCACATCCCAGATTTCTGTCTTGTAATCTCATGCTTTTCTTTGTAGGTCTAAACTACATCATCATGGGCCAGGTAGAAGACGATGGTAGAGGGAAAGTCTTTCCCAACAGCTTTGTCATGAGTTTTAAGACTAAGAACTCAAAGATCCTAAATGCCTTGAAAAACAAGACATGTTAAAACTAAACTCTGCAGCTGCATTCTATCATTTCTCTTGGAAAATAATTTTCACTTAGTATAACTCATGAAAATACAACCGACTGCCATCACTAAAGACCATACTCACCCTTTCTTGCCTCCCATCCATCTAAGCACACCCTGGTACAAAGTGGTATCCATTACATGTACCGGCCAAGATGAGAACAGATCCTCCTAAGTCTTAAAGCCGAAGATTTGCAGCACAGCCATCTGATCTCAAATATACCAAATTCCAATTACTTGGAAGCTGTTAATTTATAATTGTCCAATTTTTTAAGAAGTTGTGTATGTAAAATAAGAATTCTAAGTGCAATATTTATAGTAACTCATTTTAACATAGCTTTTTCTCTGATGTTGTTTTATTACATGGATTTCTGCATTATTATCTGTGCTTAATAAAATATTTTAAGATTAATCATACACCAACTAGTTATGAATGATGTATAAAGTGGGACAGGTGAAACACAACAACTATTTTTTTATCATTTACATGCTTTTGATGGTTTGGGTCTTGAATTGCATGACCGACACTCGACTTCCATGCTGATTAAGGGCCTGATTTTTCTTCTGTTGAAGTCTGGGATTGAGTTGAACAGGAGTTGCATTTACTCTTCAAAGAATTAGACAACTGTAAAACACCACCATGCTTTTCTCTACTGATGACTATATTCTAGTTAGCAATTAAGTTCCAAAAGGTAATTAGGGAGAATGAAGGTATAAATTAATTTAGTGGTGTTAAAGTACACATGCAAATAATTTAAATTTTTGTCCCTTCTGTGAAAGGATGGACGATACAGCAATGCTCAGTCTGGCACCAGTAGTGTAAATAGTAGCATACCTGTCTAATTTATTTTATTCCTATATGCAAAAGGTTGAACAAGTTGCTATTTTGAGGATAAGGGAAGGAACCAACTGGAAGCAGTTAAACAATGTTAAAAGATCTTTGTCAGGTTGGCCTGTTGTATACAGTTAGGTTACTCTGAAACTGAAAGGCTATAACCAAAGATGGAGCAATAGAAACAGATTATAGGTAAAGATTAATAGTAAGAAGTTGAACGTTTTGGTCAAAAGCAGATATGAAATACATGCTTTTCAGACTGGGTAAAATTTGAACACAAATAAAAATTACATGGATAGAACAGATCTAAGATCTCTTTAAGGACTTGTTTTCCTCGTATATAAATACCATACCAGAGTTCTTTTGATAATCTGTAACCATGGGCAGGAAACTGCAATGAAAGACACAGTCCCTATTCGAAGTACTTACTGCTTATTTCAATAGTGCAATGCGGATTATCATTCTTCTTCAATTATCAATTCTCATACGTACTGCCACAGCGCAACTCAGTAGCATAGCAGCATCTATTTCGAAGACTTAATGGGTAGCTAGGCAGGAGACAAAAGAATCAGGAGGCACAAAGGCACATAAAGGCTGTAACCACACTGTACAGATTGCTAGGCCTTTGCCTTACTGACTAAACCTAACAACATTTCTATGGAAATGACAGCAAGATTTGTTTGAAAAGCACATGCAATTTTGTAATTTTAAAAATTTTAGATTGTAATTTTAATTCTCCAGTATTGATTCCTATGCAGATTAAGAGGTTTTATACATGGTGCTCTCCACATTTCTCAGCAGCAGCCTAGGGAGAAGCAATGTGGAAATCATGCTTGAAACTGTCCTAAATGACAATAACCTATTTTTATTTATGATGACATGACCATCTGTCATGCAACTTTTTCAGGGAGGCAAGAACAGTCTGGCAGCCTGCTCCTCCTCTCCCGAACGGTAGGTAGGGACAGCTCCTGCCTGCTCTTCTCAACACTCCCTTTAGACCGGTGTAATTCCCAAATCAAAGCACTGACAGCAGTAGCCCACCAAAAGGGATCAGGAGCCAGAACTTAAAACAGGGAGCAGTGCTAGTTTTCTCAAGTAAGAATCAGTTACAAAACACAGGTAACAACTATTACAAGTTTTTAAAAGCAGATGTGGTGACTGTAAACTTCAGACATTTAAAATCCAACATGCAACCAAACAAAACCAAAATTATCTAACTGCAATACAATTTCTGAAATAATTTCAACAGAAATAGTAATCAAAACTATAGTTTAGCAAGGGCATAAAGTAAGCTGACTTTCAGTGATGAATGGATTTGACCATTCTGCTGCAAATAGAGGTAGCGTGAAAGCTTCCATCTCCATTTTTCATTCATCACGGCAAAGTTAGCTCTAAGATCAAACAGACATTAACATGAAAGGAAAAGAAGTCAACGTTTTTCAGTAGTCTCAAAAAAACCCACTTAGTCCTTTCATAACTTGCACTAAAATTTGTACAAAGAAATTCTGAATCCTATAGCAAAGTAAGCTCCAGCTTCTCCAAACTTTTCTTTCTCTTGACATCAGAGTTTAAAGAAGTATCACAAGACACCTAAAATGTTGTCTCTTTGCACGTCCAGAACTGTTCTGTGAGTGTGCACAAGGGAGATCTTGGATCCCCAACATCTACAGACTACTTCTGGAACAGCCAGTATTAAATCGCCAAAGGAGAAAGCAATAGCATGTTTAACACAGGTGAACTAGGAAAATCTAAATGCTAAGACAAGATTGACTGAACAGTGCCAAGCACTCTGTATCGATTAGTAGCCAAGGAGATAGGAGGACTGCAACAGCTTTCAAACAAGGCAGAGATGCAGAGTGTCATGCAACTAAGGTACTACAGAGACAAACTTCTCTCTCTCTGGTATCTATCACTTTACAGGTATGTATTTCAGGGACAGACAGACACTCTGGAACCCCAGTTCCAATCCAAAGCCCCCTAAAGTGCCTTGAAATAAGACAATTCTTCCTAAGGACGTGTCTACACTCTAGTAGAACACAGTGCCACGTGACAATGACCGAGCTAGCTCTGAATGACTCTGCTTAACATATTGAAAGCAATTAGAAATAGCTACATGAGTACGCTGCTTCATACAGATAAACACAAATAGCTTCCCAGAAAACTAACTGGCATAGAGCCGAGTGCCAAACAGCTAACACCGCGTCTAGAATCCCATCTAGCTTGTCTGGAACTAGCTCAGGTATCACTTCATGGCACTGCATGAAGCCATTTAAATGAACTTAACAGGATGGTTCCATAAGGAAAAAAGGTGGTAACAGATTAATACCAGCTACCTTCTTAAACTTATTATATTAACATGACAAATTACTTTCAATATGGTGCCTGATACCATGTGTTTCAAATATGACTAATATTAACACAACCATATTTTTCAAACAGCTTTTATTTGTCTGCTCCTCTTCTTGGATATATATAACATACACAGCACATAGTTTTTATGTTGGTGTATTATTCAAACATGAGATCTGAGCCCAAATACAAAATTCAGTGATCCTCTTTGCTTTGAACACAAGAGGTTAGCTTCTTATTCACATGAAAATCCAACAGACATCAGAACACCTCTATACTACAAGATTTTTGGAAGCAGAGTATTAAACCCTAGTTCAGATATACATAATTTCATAGTACAGAAAATATATTACCTTTACAAGAAAGAGTTTTATAAGAATTCCTTCAAAAAAGTAAACATTCATGTAAGCCTCCACTCTATCAACCTCTCAAAATCAACTGTAGTCAAAGACCACTATGGCTACCTGCGCCTTCTGGCCATAAGACCATTTTAGAAGAGCACCATCATCACAGTAAAATTGTCAATCAATCCTTCAGCTATCATAAATATACTTATTTTGTAATTAAAAATACAGGAATCTCACATTTCTCGATTACAGTTTGTCAACTTGAATTATACATAAGCATATAAAGCCACATAGGACCCTCTCAGCACAGGAAATCCACAAAGCCCTTACTGTGCATTGTAAGCGAAGTCAAGTCACATGTTTTCACAAAACAGTATTCCTGACACAAAAAAAAAGTTTAGCTTGGCAACAATTGTGGTAAAAAAAAAAACAAACAAGTTTAAAAGTAGGATATTTAAAACCCGTCTAAAGCAGGCTCTTCTAAGCTACATCTGCCCAATGACCAGGTACAACGTATGTTCTCACAGAAAGAAGTGTATAGTGATTCACAGGAATTGTTCAGCATTGCAAACAATAGCACTCACATGCTCCACCTCATTTTTGTCAAATCACGGGTTTTAGTAATTCAAACAATTTATCATCTAGATTTAAAAAACCCAAGATATTAAACATTAAAAGTTCACAGGTTAGTTTTAAAATTTTGTTCCCAATCTTAACATGTATAGTAAACCGTACTTTTGAGGCACCGCAGAAAAATCCAAGTAGGAACTGATTGTCTTACATATAACCATAATCATTCAAGAAACGGTTGGTCTATTTTGAGTTCAAAATTTCTGCATTCCCACGAGAGGGAAGAGTCTTGATGATCTGATTTTGTGTCTTCTATAAATGTTAGTATACAGTCAATGTTAACATACAAAACTTGGCACTAGAACTGCCTCTTTCAGAGCCATACAGTCTTTGCATGCACTGTAACCTACAGTCAAGCATAATTTCCAACTGTGCTGGAAATTTTCTATTATTCTATATCTGATTTCTCTATTAAAAATAAACATAGGCTGGATTTTTAGTTTAAAAAGCCTATCTTCTCCCACAACTTGAAAAACAAGTATCAAAAAGGAACACACAGCAAAAATAGAAGAAATAAACACATTGTGCTAGTTATGAAGCTCTGACACCTGACAGCCACAGTCTGAGGAACATTAAAAAAATTCCTATATACAAATTTTATATATACACTAAGGTTAAGAGCTTAAGAAAATTACTATATTTGGTTTTGCATTTATTTCCACCACTTCTCCATCTAGCTGAAACTCATGCAAATTCATTTTCAAATGTATTATTGTGCAATAATCTTCTTTTCTATTTGGTCTGGCAACAGAATTAGGTCAACACTTTCACCTATAGGTACCTAAAAGTACACACGTTTCATTTAAAAGTTAGGCCTTAGTTTCTTGGATAAAACATAGCATATTTGGAAGTTCGAAAGCCAAGCAGGTCTCTCATTTCATTTCGGAATTTTGACAAGTCTTGCCGCAGCTCATTTAGGTTTTCCACAGTTGCCTGATCCGTGCTTTGCATCTTCTGCCTCATGGAAGTCAAGTAACGGTGGACTAAGCAACACATCACCTTTTGATAATTCTCATCTCTCTTTTGCTTCAGGTTTCTCCATTCCTTTAAACAAACATTACACACTTACTATGGAAAAGCAATTTTTGAGCCCTAAAGCCCATACACAGTTATACAGAGAATAAATATGAACAAAATAACAAAGCTATTTTATAGATATGTCATGATGTGCACAAATGTACGATCCATGTAAACTCCCAGCAAAATTTAAATTAAATTATAAACTGCTGTACCAGCAAAACTGAAAATTTTTAATCTACCTGGCTTGGTAATTGTCCTATGAGCAATTAAGAGTTCCATAATCCTGACTGTTTCTCAGTGCAGATTCCATAAAGTCTTTGAATTTAGTTTATTTAATACTATTTTTGTCAGCAAGAAGATGCAAAATTAGGATGCAAAATTACAGGGTACAACAAAAACATTTATTTAATCAAAAAATAAATTCCTTCCCCTCCCCAACAGGGAGGGCTTCAGTGATCCTTTTTAGTTATTTATTTCAACACTTCTGTAGTATGTTTAAAACCAATTACCTTCCCCAAAGAATACTCTAACCTCACCATTTTTGAGATTAGCAAATACTTCCTTGAGGTTTCTATGAGTTTTCAATCAAAGCATTTTTTTCCACACTATTTCTGGGGGAATTGAGGGTTGGAGGGAAGGGAGTTTCAACTCCCAAAACTGAAAGTTAATAAAATCTTACTTAAGTAGAAATAGGTAACACTTATTTATTTATATTTGAATGCAACACACGTTATTCTGTAGTTCCTATTTATCTTAGTAGCACTCACCATGTGACATGCAGCTTCATGCAGCATTTTGCTTATTCGTTACAGCAAGCAGCAGCTTTCCAGCTTCAGAGCCTACAGCTTTCCCAATAATTTCTTACCTTGAGGCTGTTCTGACGTTTCACTTTGCCACTTGATGTATGAGAGCAGATCCATTTACTGAGACTGTTGAAAAGGTAACAGATAGTCTTGGGAGAGGGAATCACATTGAAAGGTGGAGGTAGTGTGCATTTGTCATCAAAGTAGCTAAGCCAAAGCTTGGCACGAGCAAACTTCCATTCCTTATCTTCGTGATTCTAAAGCATCAGAAAAATTAACAGAGATCAGAAGCAAAAACATTAACATTTTATTTTCTTATACCTTAAAAACTGTTACTTAACTTTCATCTATTCACTGTATACTCTACTGTAAATACAAAATTCAGCTATGAAGGTAAAAACTCCCTATGAAATGCCTGAGCACCACTCCTTATCAAGAATAGCATCTTGACTTGAACAGCCATTGTATCTAGAAAGTCTTCAATTCTCAGAGGGCCAAAGCCTTGCACATGTTCAACATTCAAAATACCCATTTTATTTAGATCAAGGGAAATAAAAAATTCATATTTGAAGCAAAGATGCCCCTTGTGAGCTCAGAGACAGAGCTCATCCATGAAGGTCTGTAGATTAGCCTACACATTGTAGAAAGAAATTCATATGAAAGCCGAAGACACAGATAGCAATTATTGGTAATTAATCAGAAATCACTTACTGCTATCAGCTGAAAACTTTTATGAAGCATTGCCACAAGGAGTTTAGTTAATACTATCACAACCACCACATTGTAGGTACCAACAATAACAGCACCCACAAAAGACTGTAATTCTTCACCATAGCTAAAACGTGTGACAAAGATTGCTACATGTGCCAGGGAGAATATATACCAGAACAGAGCAAAACATGTCCCAATAAACCTACGAAAATAAGAAAAAAAGAAATCTGGTTAGGTAAAGCAAACACCTAAAATGAGTTTACTTAATGTAAATTCAAGTTCAGTGAAAAATTCCTGACTTGTTCAATTACTAGGAATTAAGGGCTAGAACAATACAGCTATTTCATAGATATCAAACTCACGAATGGAATGTGTCATTGCTCTGTTGTTCACAGAAAATCCCCGCACAGTCCTTTTCTTCATTTACAGTAAATCCTTTATCATAAAGTTGTGTCAATCCAATTGTGAATGAGAACAAGACAAGAAGAAACATGCCCAGAAATTTTCCAAAATCTTGTAGCATCTGCCCCATTGAAATCTGTGAAATAGATTTATTTCCAATTTTAGTAAAATGTGCATTAATTTTTGTTTATATTCTCTCCTTCAGTCTCTAATCAAGAAAAAAAAATCTATTTACATTTTAAATGTTTAACTTAAATTTTAAGATGCTAAACAAACCTCAAAAGCAGGAGGTACCCTTGTACCATTTTTCAATGAAAAATTCTAGATGTTAAAAAGAAAATGTAAGTAGTTTTAACATCACCTGATAAGTTCGTATCTTTCAACTAACCATAAGTAATACTATGTACGCCTTACTCTTTATTTGTAATACCAATGGTAATAAGGAACTCAAGTCAATAAAGGTAGTAATCAAAATGCATTTGAGCATAAACACCATCATAGGAAGTTAAGAAAACACTTATTAAGGTCACTGAATTAATCAAAACATTTGGACTCGTAATTCATCACTAGTCAAAGAGTAAAATACCAAAGCCCATCTGCAGAACACAGAATTAATTCACTGTATGCTTTATGTAAGATTTTAAATATATGCAATGTGTAGGTGTAGAAGCACACAAAGATCTAAGGGTGTAAAGTATAGAAGACATGACACTAAATTCAGATCACTAGTTTCCATTTCAAAATGTCCTATACAGAAGCTTGCAACAGTAAAAATACAGTATCTTTAAAAATAATACATTTGCGTATTTTTCCAACACAGAAAAGACCTTGACTTGCTTTTATTGTAAGCGCAAATTTTTACACAGATACGGCATAAAGTGTTCACAGCATTTAAATTACTCTTACTACAAACTTCTTCAGAGAACATACTATTATAAAGAATGCAAACACATTAAAATGCGGTCAGGTAAATCTCATCCTCTATGTAAATCAGTGTGTGGAAAGCCTAGTCCTTTATGAATCACAGTTTGTACCAAATCATAGTTCGGAATGGTATCACTGGTCAGCTTTTGCAAGTACAAGTTTATTGGGAGATGAAGTGCCAGCTCCTGCTGCCCTCCATGTTGCTGGAAACTCACTGAGCACTCCTGTTGCATAGCACATTGTCTCTGATTCTTTACAGTTTGCCACAGACATGGAGAATCTGCAGCTGTAGGCAGAGCCATGCAGTAATTATATCATGTCAGAGGACGAACGTAATCCTCATCATACTGTTTCATCACATCTCTCCTTTCAAAGAAAAAAAAAAAACAAAAAACAAAACCAACTAACCAAAACCAAAACATTTACCCGATCACAGGCAACAGAGAAAAAGCAGATGAACAGGAATGCATGAAAAGTGTAAACCACCCAAAACTATTTCTTTTTTGGAATAGAGTGTAACAATACAGCCCAAATACCAACTGCTCTCTTCATACTGTCATGCTATTCCTTCCTAAGTATTTAGAATTTCTAAGCATTTGAAATCTAATGATCTAATCTAGGAGAATATTATTCTATCTTCTGTTAATAATAAAAAATCACCACACATAGCCAACTTCCAAATCTGTATTAAAATAGGTTTTATTAATCAGTAAGTAACTGTACGCTTAAAAATAACTCTAATAGCCAAGAGAACATAGTAGCTGCCTTCCGCCCACACACTGTTGGGTCTCCATGCCATGTTTGATTACCACCATTTGAACTTTGTGACCTACTTTCAGAAAATACTGTAAGAGTTGTTGCACAAGATGTACTGGCCAACAGTAATAACATAAGCTTCAGTGTGCCACTGAATGGGGTGACTGTTGACTGTTTTTATTTACTTGGAAAATTTCATAACATAGCCTCCTAATAAAAAACTTGTGAAAGATCTGGTACATAAATAAATATGCACATTAAACAGTGGATCTCTTTAAAACATGGAGACTTCAGTGTTCTATCAATTTGTATAACAAGCCTAATGCTTATTGCAACATCAAGACTTTAGTATTTTTTTCAAAGTATGCAAGTACATTTCCATTTTAAAATGTATAAAAGAAAAAAAATAAAAATAATTAACAGCGGCCTAGTTACAGCTAGAGAGAAAAGGGCAAGAAGTAAAATAAACTAAACCCTGAGAGGAGAAACAGGCGTCTTCCAATAATATTAAACTGGTTACAAGAACTATGAATTCTTTGTAAAGAACTTTTTATGATTATTTTAAAAAGACCAATCTAACAAGTGATTATTTTTCTTTTCAAAGGACTATTCTCTATGAAATAAAATATTCTAAACGATAATTATTTGTGCGGGAAGATTAAGTACTCCAACTCATTAAAATGAGCTGAACCTTCAAGCTGGAGGTTTTCAGTTAGATCTTAAAGCCTTGATACAAGACCTACTGATCTGAGCCAAAATTATTTACTTCAGAATCTCCATTGGTATAGCTCTAGTTGCAGAGCAAGAGTTAAAAAAAAATGCTGCTCCCAAATATTTATTCTGCCTTTATTCTTAGCCGTGATAATGTTTCTTGCAGGATCTTTTCCAATCATCCTCTTGCCATAACGCTATTTAAAAGTAGTCCTGTTCACAGGAACAGAAGACAAAGAATTGATTTGACCGATTAGGACAAATTCCATCAGTATAATCACTGGATGTCTACCCTATTTATTCTAGGCATCTTTTCATTCAACAGACACTTGAAAAAACATGTGATAGTGTTGACAACCAATTATATTAACTAAATCCTATCACTCTCAGGATTAAAATAAATACATAAATAAATAAAAATCATCACTACAAGATCAGTCTGATCTGATTTGTCATCAAAAATCTCCCAGGAAGCGAGGCCAGAGAAACTAGAAGTATGCCTAAGCAAAGCTTTGTTCAGTAAACTATACTTCTAGTAACAGGTGCTTTAGTTTGTAAGGGTTTTACACTGGCAAAGCAACAAAATCAGTCAGTGCTGTGGACTCAAGCTGAACAGAAAAACCACAGAAAGGAAAAAAGTGCTGCTAGGAGAATAAGAGGTGACTTCCACTCATAATATTTTTTAGAAGGAAGCTTTCTTCCTCCTTTTCATCTAAAAAGGATTGAGGGAGGTAATTGCATCCTAAATCTGATGTCTTAGTAACAGTCCAGGTTCCCTCCCCTGCCCCTAAAGGTACTAGACCTTCTATATAGTGTCATATTGCACATTTAGGTCCACCCAGTTTATCTGAAGTTCATCACAATGAATAGCACCAAAACTAAGATGAGAGGGTCTGTGCTTAAAAAAAAAAGAAACCAAATAACAAAAAACCAGGACATGGCATAAACTCAGTAGAAAACTCCATGTCTGCTCTGAAATCAGGAGGAAAAAAAAAAAAGAATTATTTGCAAACAAAACGGGTTAAATCCTACCTTCAAATTTTTCAGGTAAATTTAGCTTAGAAACTGCTGTGGTCTCCACTGTTCCAGCATTACAACACAAGAGGGCTAATGCTTACCCCTAGCATCTCCAGATGACTGAATTAAATGTGTTATGTAAGTAAAATGTGTTTTTAACCATCATTATCACTCAGGGCAGGCTCCAGCAAATTCCAAGTAAGAAATCTGTTCTGCCTTCTTATAACTGGCTAGAAATAGATGACTATTTGAATAATCTTGAGAGATTTATATTTCTCAAACCAAAGCAAAGTGCACAGTTCAACTCAATGTGCAACTTCAGTGAGATCTCAGGCATGAACAGAAAGGCTTTTGATTACTCTTTTTTGCTACACATCATCCATCTATCTTTTAGAGAGAAGAAGTTAGGACAATCATTGGCATAGAACTTGACAGGAAGAACTTCATCCTTACTGTTTTCAAACTGCAAACACTTATGCAGTAGGTTAAACTAACAACAGAGAAAAACAAAAAGACAGTATAGGTACAGTTATCATGGAAAAAATATTATAAGAAAGTAAACTACACTAGGTCTTCTATTCTTTTTATCTTTTTCCATCTAAATCAGTATGTTTTACATGAGAGATTAAAAAAACTCCAAACTTCAGTGCAATATTACTTCTTTCTGCTGTTTATTTTCTCACTTTCTTACTTTAATTTCTTCTTTTTCTCTTTTTAATAAGACTCTTCATAGCAAATTAAGATCAAGTTTAATATTTTCTCAAGCAGTAATGATATTCACCTGGAGTGGTCCCAGAATAGAGCTAGTTGTGTACATGAAGAAGAGACGAAGATAACTAAGAACATTAGCAAAAGCAAAAAGACCTTCTGCCACTAGGGTAGGATGGAATGCATCCCAGTCCTTCCTTTCAGCATAATCATGAAACTGCAATATAAAAAGGACAAACTGAGATCACTGACATTATAAATACAAAAATGCACCCATGCACCGCTCTGTAATTCTGCCTCCCAAACAGGTAACAAGCATAAAAGAAATTAAAACATATGATTCATAGATGGCTTACCTCTCTCTTTAGACTAAGCCATTTTAAAAGTCATTCCAGAGGGAGCCATAAACCAGATAATTTCAATTCAACACTTACGCTACCACTCATTTGCTCAGCAAACCATTTATTCCTCTCTTCTGCTTTCCCTTCTACTATTTTGCACGATTTGTTGAAACAGGGACTTGCGTGCTTTATAAACACGTGCATTGTCTAGTGTAATAGGCCTCAGGCAAAAACATCAAAATGCTGCAAAGAAAACTGATGTACACGTGCAATTGCAATGTGGTGACAGCTGGTCTTAACCAATTTTAAAAAGATTTAGAAAGACTTAGGACCTGGGGTTCCTTCAATGGATTTTATGAATGACTACAGAGAATGGAAGTCACAAGTAAACTGTTGGTGTAAACACACCCTTAAACTATAGCCACTAGGTACTACCCAACTCTTCATGGAATATCCACAGATCCCTAACTTTCATCTTGGCTGAAAACATTCTGCATTTATATTACGAGCTTCTGCTGTCTCAAAATGGACATTCAAAAGCTAAGGAACTCAGAGCTGCTTTAACATAACTTGCCTGAATGTGTGCTGCACAAAGATGGCAAGAAACAAGGATAAACATGATTTTATACGTTGCAACTGCATATGTACAAATCCTTTTGCTACAGAGACTCTTCCTTTATTTTTACAGCTTTAGTGCCTACAACAGGCACCTAAGATGTAAAATAAGCATTTTTATTTAGTTTTCTAAATAATTTATGTACTATAAAAGTAAATTTTGCCCTATAAAAGTGGCAAAAAAGCCACCATGTGCCTGTTACATAGGACAGGAGTCCTGCACCTTCAAAAAGGGTTCAACTTAAATTAGCAGCAAAGGAACTACTACTACAGACAAGTGCTGGTTGCAAAGCAAAATGGGAAGGCAGCCCAACATGGCATTCTCTCTCTATTTTTTCAAAGAAACAGAGCTTTCCATTCCAAATGATTACCAGCTTCTGAATCAATGCAAGGATAGGGAAACAAGCCAAACACCAAGTTGGGAAGAACTGAACCAGTTTATTTCCCTCCCAACTGCCAGACAGCTGTCAACTCACAGTTTGCAATACAAAATAATGGTGCTACTGCACTGGCTTGAATTTTGCTAAAATATTCATATTCAATTGGTCTGGCAGCTTGCCATATGCTGTGCAGCTAACAACACATGCAACAGAATGGGAATGACCACTTTCAAAACATATCTGCAATCAAATCGAGATGGCTTTTCACAGAGAAGACAAGGCTCCTGCATGGTCTCAGGGCTTTTTTCCTCACTAGAGAAAAAGAAAACAACCTACAAACTAAAAAATCCCCACCAAACCAAAAACGATTAAAAAAAACCCCAAAACCACCTTTGACATTTGAGCATATGTAATCAAAAGCTAAATAAAACTTTCTATAACAAAAAGCTTTAGGCAATCTAAGCACAGAGATTACTATTAGCTTTCTGCATAGTACTGGTACATGGAATCAGGCGAACTCAAATGCAAAATCAGATGAGCTGTATGGTGAGGTTTCTTCAAATGAAAATCAAGCCCTTTAGAAGACCAGCCAGTTCTTACAAGGAAGACAGAAGCTCTGCTTGGGGGTCACTGAGTACTTGGACATGTTTTCATGCGTTTTCTCACTCCCATTTGCCTCATCAACTTTTATTTCAAGCCCAAGATAGAACAAGACCAGAGATCTTGACAACTACATGGAACACTTAACTCGGAAGCCTAAAGAGTATCCACATAGTACACTATTAACAATGCAGTGTACTAACTACGATGTGCTACTACTAACATATGACACAATACATATCTTCACGTATTTGCAGCAATGTACTAAAATTGTATTGGCCCAATCAGTCCCAGAGGAGCTTCAGATCTATGCAGATGGGTGCTCACCTTGTTATGGGCAACTACTTTGAGAGCAAAAGTTGCCAAATACAGGGAATTCATGACAAAACTAAGCTGATTACGCGATTCTTCTAAAAAGTCTTCTAAACCATCATACCAGAGTCTTTTAACATCTGACCACACCATTCCTGCAAGTAAAAAAAAAAAAAAAGCCAAGAAAGTCAAGCCATTGCACTAAATAGATACTCTTTTACAACTAAAGCACTTTTGACTGACTTTTGTAAATGATATTTTAGGAAAGTGAAAGAAGTGAAGTAATCAAGTAAATTTACTAAAAGCATTGCATTGGGTTACAAGCATTAACCATAAGGTAACAAGATGTTTAACCTTTTCAAGCCTACTTTCCAACTAAGAAATACATTATCCAATAAAAAAGGGCAGGAGAGGAAATAAATAGGAGAAAAAATTGGACAGGAAAAGGTCAAATCTAAATAAAAATACAAGGCTAGAATACAAATGCTATGCTTTTTCTGAAAAGTATTCGCCTTTTTCCAAAAGCACTATAGTAAAAACTACATTGCTATAAAAAGCATCAAGTATTTTTTTCTGAAATGTGTAGGTATTATAAAATGGTTTTTAAGAATAATCAGCTCAGTAACTGTTACTGAAAAGATCCAAAAAGTAGAAACTATGACGTAAGACTGCAAAAGTCAGAAGTTTAACTTAGAGCAACATACATTTAAAAATTCAGGATCTTTATAGTAAAATGAATTTTACCATTGTTAACCATGTCTGGCTATGCTAAGAATTCTACCAATTGAATGTCCCTTACAGACTTGGATTTTCATTTTTATAAAACTTGAAAGGACCGTTAGATGAAATAAAATGGCACCTTTGATTACTAGGAATAATCAGTTATTTAATGTTTTTTGAGTACCTCAGATGTATGCTACTATATTTAGGACAAGAAGAAAAGCAGCATGTGTAGAAATGGTAGTTAAAACCTGTTAGATTTAGTTCAGCTTTTAGGACTTTGTAACTTCTCCAAAACTTTGGCCCAGTAAGAACAAGATCCAGTGAACAGAAAAAAAAAAATTAAAAAACCCCTGATACTTATGCATGACTCTGCTGTAAAGTTGACTGAACGCATAATGTTGGAAGGCGTAATAAAAGTACGCTGTGCACAGTTTGCTAAAAGACTTGTAATAAATCTCTTCTTCCTGATTATAAAGAAAATATTTCTAAACCAAAACCTCTGTGCCCCTCCATATGATGACCAGGTATTTTACACTAGATTTGTTAGAGAATCCATAAAAAGAGTTGGAGAAGTAGAAGATGCTATAATTGATGTTATTTACACATACAAGAATTTGAGTTCTGTGGCTTTGCTGGAGAAGACACTTGTATGATTTCTCAATAACTTGGAAAAGAGAATTGCCGTATTCCTGATTTTGAAAGTTAATCTAGTAGAACACAAAACTAGCTGCTAACTTTAAGTGTTAGAAATTCTGCTGTGGCCACTTTGACATTGAGTTTGAGAAAGTATTTTAATGGGACTATGGAAGAAAAAACTGTAGGTAAATCTTTGTTACCTGGTTCTTTTTATTCCAGTTGATTTTGTCACACATTTCCTAAATACATTCTTTTCCATTTACTGAATATTTGCAAGGAAACAGTATGATATACAATTTAAAAAATATGCATTTAAGCTATAAATACAATTACTATTTAAAAAAATCTTAAGATTCAATAATGTGAAAAATAACCTGATTTTAATTATTTATGTCACTTACAGGCCGTTTTTCAATCCTATCTGAAATCCACATGTTAAAATACTACAGGAAGAAAATAAAATGTTTCTATGGCCTTTCATTAAAATTTCCAAGACCACCTAATGACACAATTTCTGCCTACATTAGATTTGATGCAACAAAAGAATTTCTAAAATCAGATATTGAATCTCAAAACAAAGGAGGAGTCTGTAACACTGATGTGCACTCTACATTTGAAGCTTTGAAGTTTCTTTCTAGACCTGCATGCATTTGTATATGGAATACTGGGTATTTCCAAAATCTGTATGGACTACTCAACAGTTTTAATATAATTAAACAATGAAACAAGTGACCATTACAAAAAAAACCATCCTACAATAACAAATAAACCACCTACAACTACTTGGATAAAAACTGTGGTCTTTTCAACTATATTACTGCTTTTTACAAGTCCAGTCAACCAAATGATACATATCTAATCACCTTACATTAACATATAAGTTTTCATTAATTTATCTACCAAGTTTTAATGTACACACCAACCAACCAAAAACACATTAAAAAGTTTTATAAATTTCCAATCAAAACACAAGTTCATGAGTACGCAACAAAAATGATACCTGTGCTCCCTCTACTGCATCAACCAGAAGTAACATGAGTTCTTTTGGGTATAGTTATGACTATCGGTGGCAATGACATACAGAAATGGAAAGTTATAATGCGGGAAAATAATACTTGTTTCTGTGTTTTAAACCAAGGATGAGTTAAATACACACTTTCGATTTATTAGACTAAGATGGAGTACACATACATATGTATGCATACATAAGCAAACACAACATATACTTTTTTCTCTAAACAATATGCCAACTCCACAACAAGTCCAAATTGTATCATTAATTACTTTTCAAATCAAGCATTACACAATTGGTCATGAAAGACTGAGTTGTTACTTATTGTTGATGGCAATTTTGTATATATTCGAAGTCCTCTTCCTGAGCTGAGCAGAATGCTATAAAAATTTCATGTTTACAACTATGAAAGAGATTTTGCAGAACACTAAATTTTTGCAATTGTTTAAAGCTGGATTAGTCCAACAAAAATGTTCAGAATCCTCCTGTTCTATCTAGTTAGAGCACAAGAAAATAGAAATGAAAACAGTGCAGGAATTGATTTTATGACTGTAACTGCATGCTTACTCCAACTATTTACAATCCAGAAAAATTATAATTAACTGGCATACAAGGCACAAATACTTATCTACTTTATGATTACATAAAGATCTTAGCTAGATTTTCAAAGAAACAATAACTTCATTAGTAATTTTCAGATTCTAGCACAATTCCATACACAGATACACAATTAATTCAGAAGGTCAGACCATTCCTACTACTTTTTTATAGAATTCATAGAATCATGGAATATCCTGAGTTGGAAGGCACCCACGTGGATCAAGTGCAACTACTGACTCCACACAGGACAACCTAAAAGTTAAACCATATACCTAAGAATGTTGTCCAAACACTTCTTGTAAGAGAGACCTGGAAGAAATTAAAACTTTTGTGGATTGTTGGCAGACGAAAAAAACAAAACAACTCTGACTCAACAATGATTAAACCACCTACATACTAAATACTACTGCCTATTCATGAAAAACTATTGGAAAAAATCCTAAAGTGATATCTGAATTAATTTATTCCTCAATTTAGCACCAAAGAGAACACCCCTTGGTAGGTGACAGGTTCTTATCTGCTACAAAACTATTAATCTGAGGAACACACACTTGCTTTTCTTTCAGATTACATTTTTTTCTTTTCTTTTTTTTTAAAGATCAGAATTTTAAAATGCCTAGGAAGATACACAGCTTTTGCATTAATTTGTTATTGCACAACTGAATCTCACTTGCATCATGCTACTCTGTTAGATCTACAACATTCTGTTTCTGCACTTTTTGTGATAACTAGAGATTGTTCTAACACTTCACATCCCTTCCTCAAAACGTGTTTGGTTGTTTTCTTTTTCCTGTAACATTATCCTCCAAAGAGTAAACTTTGGTCAATCAATAGGTAACATGCTAATTTCATAAGAAGGTAGTACAAATCATTATTGCTTGATCAACATCAGCAATTGCCATCCCATCTACTCAAATCATACCTACCAATCAGCCATATTATCAGAAGATAGTCTATTCTCTCAAGGGCCGGTCCCATTGTATTCTTCTTATTCTCATTGTAGACAAGGGAGTACAAATTAAGTAACAACAGAAACGTGAAATATGAAGCTCCATGAATAATAAACTTCATAAAAGGAGTGTGAATTATTCGACCGACTCGAGATTTAGGGGCTAACAAGTAACACAGGGACAGAACCGGCCAGAAAACACCAACTGTCAAAACAGTCAAAATTTTCTTGCACGTGTGCTTGCGTCGATAGCCTGCCATCTGTCCAAACCATACAGTGTTTAGAAACTGCTGGCAGTTAGACTGAGCAACAAACTGGGAAGGAAGGGGGAAAAAAAAAAAAAGAAAAACAAGAAATCAGTCTCAGGTTTCTTAATCAGATAATCAGATTACTAATTTACATTATTAAAATTCATTTTCAAACTCTGCGTTGTTACCAATGAACAGGAAAAGGTAAGAATATTAAGTTGAAATAATTATCTCATAAGAGAACAAAAGTGCTATGGAGCTATTATCATTATAAACATCCGTAATTTTAACTTCCTTCTAGAAAGAGCAACTAAACATAAATTATACATACTAGACTTTTAATGGTTTTCAGGTCAATAATAAGTTTTGATTTCTAATTTAGAAATCTAGCATATAAGTAACATCATACCTCAGACAGCTTCATTGTCTGTTACTACAAAATACAGTGATCTTATCTGAAGAATAAGATATTGTTACTGTAAAATACTATCCAGATTGTAAAACACAACGTTGTGTAAGAAGAGGACTAAAGTGGCCAAGCAGTTTTATGGATATCAGTTCTTAAAATCACTATGGCTCTATTCAGCAGGGTTAACTGTTAGTCAGAGTAAGCTATGTTATGTCAGTTCCTCAAAACAAGATTATTTTGTTCTGAAAGTTATGTAGATTATGCAAATGTAGTTTCAAATTTCAGGTGCTTATTTGCATGAAATTACAAAATAACGTATTTCACTAGAAAATGCTTTGTCATTTAATTAAAAAAAATCAACGAAAAGAACCTTGGTATTATCATCACATTTTAGAAAGCATCACAAAAACCTGTCTCTATAGCAGATTTGTCAGGAATAAAACATATTCTGCAAAGATACTTTCCTCATACCACACAAAAAATGCTGTTATTCTCCAACAACTTTGGTAAAAACAAGCTATGCTTAAAACCAGAAGAACATCTAAAATACTTCAGTATGCTTGTTTAACACATACCAGAAACGTGTGATGCTGGTTCTAGGACATTCCATGACTATGGCTTATGACTTTTAAACACTATGTGTTTTAACAGTTTCACAAACAGTTTAAGCCTAGATACGTAGAACAGGCAGAATTATAATGCCTTCTGCAAATGCTAACTGAAAATGGACTTCGCATGGAAATGAAACTTCCTCTCTGTCCCTGGTCCTTGTACTAGAATCCCACAAACACCCACTTAGAGCTATAATTTGTCAATGGATAAAGACAGCAATGATCTACTGCATGAAATGAGTTCCATAGTGATGGCATAAAAAGGTGCTATGTACTATTCTGGAACTATTCAGTTATACCAGCATAGGTCTAACATAATTCTGAACAGCACAGACGAGGCCTGAGCCAAAGCTGAACAGCTAATGACAAGTGAGATGATAAATCATGTATGGCACCTAAAGATCCATGCTTCCCTAGGCAAGGATTTAATGAGGACCTGAACAAATAATTACCACTATCAGAGTTGGTCATAAAGGATTGATAGTCTCTTCTCCAATACAGAAAATACTATGTTCTTCTCCACAGTAAATACTGAAGAAATAATCAGTATCTTGCAATATCACTTCCCGGTTTCACACTCACGTGTTCTGTGTACTACAATCTCTTCTCTAAGTTTTGTAAACTTATTCCCACTTCTATGTCTAAAGGCAGAACAATAAATTAAATTACCAGCAAAACATGATCCAGAAAGCCTATCAAATTAATGCAAAAACGAACCTCTTTTTGATTATACTTGATTGCAAGTTTTAAGCGACTTAAGTTCATCCTCTCTTCCAACAATCCTCGCTTGTCTACATGTTCATCGCTAGACGTGTGATTCAGAATAACTTCCAGCTCCCGTGAATTCCGTGCTTGTGCAAGCAAATCTTTAGCAAAGGTTTTGCACTGTTGAGCTAGCTCCTCATAATCATTTCTAAAGGACACAGAACAGCACATGCTATTACATTGCTCGCGTATTTTCCACTAAATAATTGACTTGCCATTTTTGGTTGAGGTTGTATGTTATGCTAAGACAAATTAAAAAAACCCACACACAACAGTCTTATGTCAAGATCCAAACATTCTGAAGACAACTCTGAGTAGGTTTCACCACGTAACATGACAATTACACTTCAGTTTCGTTTGCAACTCCCCTAGACAGAGAAAAATCGAGAAATAGACTTACAGTACACAAAAAGTCTTACCTTACAGCTTCGATATAAAAAGAGTTAAAGCTTAGAATTATTTCCAGGAGATGAGAAAGTGTAGTAGTCACAAAATATGACACTGGTAATTCATCACTTAGACTTTCTGCTTGGAAGGGAAGTTATTTTGGATTTTGCTTTATTCCTGTCATCTGAAAATTGAAGTCTACTACTGAAAACTATTTATTAATATAACAAACAGAAGAAAACAAATAACACTATTTGGTTGTCTCATCTGGCACACGGTCCATTTTAGTGTCAAGTTGTATCAGAAAAATGCAACAGTTGAACTCTTATTAAGACAGACAATCAGCTATAAAACCAGAAAATTTATATGTTGTTTAGGAAAGAAGAATTTTACCCCATACGAAAATTTGCTTTCATGTTCTCATAAAAAATTACATGCTTTTGCACTGGTAAGTTTCAAAATGGTAGAAACCTGCATAGTTTAAACATAAAATTAAACTGTTCATTTATTCACTAAATAGAGCATTTTCAGTACAAAATCTTCTATACTCACATGCATACTTTACATATATATATGCACATATAGATATATGTATATAGAGACACACATATGTGCTGTTCAGAGTCTTATAATATGAGTAGCAAAATTAAAAAACAACATCCAAAACGACTCCCAACATGAGTCAGGTCAGTATAAACAAAGTGCTGCACACTTCTACCCTGATGTAAGGGCGGGAAAAAAAGCACAGAGTACTAATGAGATATTGAAATTATTAATAGGGGTGTGATCTTGAAATAAGACAGTATTTAGTATCATTTCTATTTATTTTTCCAGAGTATAGCTGAAATTTGTAACAGTTGGTGCCAACTATACACATTGAACTGTCTACACCTAAAAGAAAATTAATTAATTAAACTCTCAAAATGACTGCTAATGAGGCATAAATTATATTATAACTTGTTGTGTCTAATTATCAGTTTAAACTGATAATTACAAAAAATTAAGAATAAACCTTTTCTAATGCATACAATTTCACAAAAGTATTAAAGTTGGTTTGTGCTTTCAATTCCTACCTGAATTCAACCTCAACAAGGCTTAATTCTTTCAAGTCTGCACTAAGTTCAAAAGCTCGCAAGATTGGATCCTCCTCTGTCAACATGATTAAAGCAGGACTGGCCAAACACCGATAAATGTCAAGACGAAACCTGTGACAAAAGAATAGCAAGCAAAATGAAGATGTTTCGTTTGATTAGCAGTTTCACATCAGAACCTTGTCCAAACTTTTGCATAAAACAGTCAGCTGAAAGACAAAACAATTTGGTTTCTTAGAATCAGACACTACAAGCATTAAATGTGATAGCTCAGGGAAGACATTCTCCTTCACATACTTAGAATCCCTACTATTCTAAGTATCAAAAACTGGCCAAACAGGTTCCCTTCTCTTTTCCTCACTTCTTCAACTGTTATCAGTATATCAGCAGAAGGCCATCACCTAAGGTGACAGTATTGGTAAAATTATACAGTAGCTCTTATGGTTCTTCAAGTGGAAAAAAAGAGAGGGAAGTAAAGCATTTAAGGCAATCTTCCATTTTAACAAACTAAATTAAAAACTGTGGGGAGCTTTAATGTGAAACATAAACAAAAAAATAGAGAAAGTATCTGAAGGGATGTTTTCCTCTTGCAAAACTAGCAACCCATGAGCACTGAAACAAAGTCTGTTCTAGTTTAAACTAACAGCTGTTATCTCAAACGTTTCTATTATTTGTTTGCTTGGGATAGCCTCATCTGACACCTTTTCTCCTACTGAAGTTAATGACATGGGGTGTCAGATGGATGTCACCATTACAGGTACCAGAATGTGGCCTGTAGTAGCTGAATACCAGTAACAATTATACTTTCACTTCCTTTATTTTTTAGTCATTTGAATACATACTGAAGTAATTATGTAACAATTAACTGTATATTGTAATTGCAGTTCATTTATGATCTTTGACCTCTGTGATTTTTCACCCCAACTCTCACATATTAAATTGTATTCAACCCTCAAATATGTTGTCAAGTTAAACAGATAAAATATTGTTAAGATTGGCAAATCCCTCTCCTTATTTGAACCTTTATTAAAAAGCTTTCTACTTTCAAAAATATTGAAGAAAAAAAAAGTCTTTAGTCTGCATTCATCAATCCATGCTACATAAATACTTTTAGATACAGAATCATTCACCTCCTCATTGTGGCTCAAAAAACTCTAAGTACTAACTAACTTAAAAAAAAAAATTATTTGCATAGTTCCTATGCCCTTAAATCAAAAATAACTAGAATGTTTCTGACATTTGGTAGAAATGAAAGGCACTTAGATCAATATGCACAGTGACTAAGAGTATAAAACCAAATTGGAAAAAAAGCCATTGCTCCCACCAGTTTTTTCAAGCCCAACCCATCCCCAAGAACTACCATCTCTCATAATTAAGACTGCAATATATTAAAGGAATCCTCTCGTAAACCTCACCTTGAAGAGAAAAAGTAAATATACAGAATCTGACTCAAGTGATACCAGAAATTCAGATGAGATTTTTTTTTACTATTGTCTATGACTGGTAAGTCTTACCTGGAATGTCGTAGACTATCTTTTTTGTTCTTTGCAGTACACAGTGTGCACTCACAGCCTACAGCATGAGGTTTAGGTAATGATATGTCTTGCTTTAACAGCATGGTGAGAATTTCATAGTTGTTACGATGAGCAGCTAAAATGACAGGTGCCACATCCATGGTCGTCGAGTACTCTGGGTTCTGAATGCGTTCCATTAGTTTCTGGAATAAAATGTAGGAAGTATCTAAATTTATTACATACAGTTCTACTACAGTGTTTACATGTAATGGGTTTTTTGACAGTTCAACAATGAATCTCTCCTTCACAGTATTTTCCTATGTTTCATAACATGAAAACACAGAAAAAAATTTAACAACATTCAAACACCTCTCAGATAAATACTGGAAAAAGAAAAATGGATTCAGAAATGTTTATGATTTGCACAGAAAATCTGACATTCAGTGCCTACGTTCTCCAATATACATGCATGATATTAAAAAGTGTATTTTGCTATCATTTGAAAAAAAAATATTGTGAGTATATTTATTACGTAAGCGCAGAAAAAACATCCTGACTGTACCATGCTCTGTTACACAACACCTTATTCCTTCCCTCCCTTCACCTCTACTTGTGAACTTTTAAAAGTTCTTTGATACTTCAGCATTGCCAAGGTAAGTTTCAACTGACTAACTTCAAGGCGAAGATCTGATGTTTATAGATTTGCTCAAAAAAAAATCCGTGAAGCTTCAGTACATGAATATACCCATTTTGCGCCAAGGCTGCTAATTACCTTGCAAACAGGCTACAGAAAGATTTATAACCACTCTTTCTCTTCTTTTCTGGACTAACTAGGCATCTGGTAGCATTTGGCACATAATAAAGCCACCGGATTCCTTAGGCTTTAACAATAAGTCCTAATGTCCAGATTCTATCACCTTAGAGATGCGGAATTTCATTTAAGAACACTGTTTTAAATAGTACAGTTACCCAGAATGCAATAGCACAGCCCCCCACTCCCCAACCAAAAATCAAGGAACAACAACACTCAACTACAATGGTTGGTCTGGAGGATCTTTTCGGTCTGTGATTAAGTAGAATGTCAACAGCTCCCACCACTTCCGAGTCAATAGCCACCAAAAGTGCATCCGATGACTAAGGAAAGAAAAGTCATATGCGAAAACAGTAGTAACTTAAACAGCATAAAGAGTCAAGCAGAAGCCAAACTGCATTTTTATTTTTATTTTCTTTTTCTAAAATTTATTTTTAAAGTACTAAACCGATGTTCTGTATTATCACCACGCATATGATCAGGATACAAATTCAGGTTGCCATTCTAGGAGTTAGCACAGCATTACTGACAATTTGTGTCATTGCATGAACAGCAAGCAGAAGAACCAACTGCAGAAATTACTTTCCAGTAAAGATGATGCAGGACACTTGCAGAAATCGAGTTCTAAGGAACATTTTATCAGGTTATTAAAAATGTTAAAAGCAAGTGTCTGTGTAACATAACTCAGGCATATGGGATAGATGCGGGGCTGAAGTGGTAAAGCTAGGAACACAAGCTTTTTTTTCTGGGCTGGTAACTACTTCCAAAACTTCTCTTAAGTTGCGCTAAGCAGCTTTTCATTTTCCCT